AAGTTGTTTAAATAAAATAAATAAAAAGGAGTGATGCAAATTGACCTAGAATTCACTTCATGATCACTCGTAGCAGGCAGAAGAGTGCTAAGCTAAATGGACACGCCGTCTTGGTTCATGTCATAGGGTGATGTCCTTGGCCGCCCAAGGGTGACTCCTGGTCTTCTGCTTTAATGCTCCAGGTCCTGACTACAGTGCTGTCTCTGTGCTGAATTTGGGGAATCCGGTCAGGCAACTGTCATCTGACCTCCAGAGTGTTGCTTGCACATAATGATTATACGTTCCACGAGTTTCTTTTGCTCTGCAGGGAAGTGTGTCATGGGAACTGCCTCGAGCAGCGGATTATATTTTGATCAGCTTTCTCACCTTCACTCTGCATGCAGAAATTTGCCCTTTTGTACCCTTATATTGGGGGATGCAGGTGGCGCAGTGGTTTAAACCGCTGTGCTGCTGGGCTGGTTGATTGAAAGGTTGCCGGTTTGAATCTGCACAACGGGGTGAATTCCTGTTGCTCCGTCCCAGCTCCTGCCAACCTTGCAGTTTGAAAGCCTGCAAATGCAAGTAGATAAACAGGTACCACTTCGGTGGGGAGGTTACAGTGTTCCTTGTACCACAGTGTTTAGTCATGCCGGCCACATGACCACAGAGACTGTCTGCGGACAAACGCTGGCTCCCTCAGCTAGGAAATGGAGATGAGCGCCGCCCCCTAGAAACCTTTACCTTTACCCTTATATTATTATTATTATTATTATTATTATTATTATTATTATTATTATTACATTTCTATACCGCCCCTTGCCGAAGCCTCGGGGCAGCTTACAACACAATAAAATACATTGAAATACAATAGCACATAATAAATTACCATTAAATACAAAAATACAAAAAATACATTGAGTTACAAACATAATAATATAAAATTAAAATTATCAGTATAAAATAAGTAAATAAATAATATAGGAGGAGAAAAGAGAAGGAAGAAGAAGTTGCCCTGGCCAGATCATATATTTTAACAATTAAAATGATGTTTAAATAAAAAGGTCTTTACCTGGCGCTGAAAAACCAGTAACGACGGTGCCAGGCGGACCTCTTTGGGGAGTGAATTCCATAGGTTGGGCGCCACCGCAGAGAAAGCCCTCCTCCGAGTACTTACTCTCCTAATTTCTTTCATGGAGGGTTCCCGGAGAAGGGACTCTCCCGCAGATCTCAAAGGGCGGTCGGGCGTATACGGACGTAAGCGCTCATTCAGGTAGCCCGGACCCAAGCCATTTAGGGCTTTATAGGTCATATTCAACACCTTGAATTGGGCCCGGGCTTCAATGGGCAGCCAGTGAAGCTGACGGAGGACTGGAGTCATGTGAGCATAATGCCCCGTCCCCGTCAGCAACCTGGCAGCTCTATTTTGCACCAATTGAAGTGTTCAGACCGTCTTCAGGGGAAGCCCCACGTAAAGCGCGTTACAGAAGTCTAGGCGGGAAGTCACCAGACACTTGCTCTTTGGGAGCAGAGACATCACCCTGTTGACAAAAGTGCATATAGTCAAGGCTCTGGTTTTCCCAGCTGCAATGTATGGCTGTGAAAGCTGGACCATAAGGAAGGCTGAGTGCTGAAGGATTGAGGCCTTTGCATTGTGGTGCTGGAGGAGACTCTGCGAGTCCCCTGGACTGCAAGGAGATCAAACCGGTCAGTCCTGGAGGAGATCAACCCTGACTGCTCTTTAGAAGGCCAGATACTGAAGATGAAACTCAAAAACTTTGGCCACCTAATGAGAAGGAAGGACTCCCTGGAGAAGAGCCTGATGCTGGGAACAATTGACGGCAAAAGAAGAAGGGGACGGCAGAGGATGAGGTGGCTGGATGGGGTCACTGAAGCAGTTGGCGTGAGCTTGAGTGGACTCCAGGGGATGGTGGAGGGCAGGAAGGCCTGGAGGAGTGTTGTCCATGGGGCCGTGACGGGTCGGACACGACTTCGTGACTAACAACAACACAACAACAACAAAACAAGGCTGATGGGACGTGGGGATGAGAATGGCTGGAGGAGTTTGGCACGGCAGGTGAGAAGACTTTGGGCTGACAGAAGAGCTGGGCAGAGAGTTGTGTCTCTTCAAAGAGGGCATGTGATTTGCCACTTTCCAGAGTTTTAAGGCTTTTAAGGAAAGGAATAACACCCAGAGTGAGTAAGGGCCAACATCTGAGCCAGAAGAGCAGTATATTGGTGGTGCATCAGGGTGCCAACATGCGGTGCTGATTTTCCATGCCATGCGCCAGGGGCACGATGGATTAAGGCTTGTTGCTGAGTCTCATTGGCTGATTCAGCACCAAATTTGAACATTGTTCCAAGGGACCAGCACTGCTGTATCAACAGGTTTGCGGGCCTGATGTAAGACATCAACAGAAACCAAAATCTTAAAATAGTATTACCATGTAGATTATTTATTATCCCCAGCTTATCCCCAGACTGTTACACAACACCTCATCTTAAAGCACAATTGCTTTCTGAGTTTCACTCTGTATATCAAATTAATGGAAATCCAGTTTTCAAGTGTAGTCAGCACTAATGCTTGGATTCAGAGGTAGGACATTTGTGGCCCTCAACAACACCCCCCCCCCTCCAGTATGGGGATTCTGAAGCAGTGGGTAATAAAAAAGACAAATGATTAAAATGCATTGAAAAGTTAAATAAGTTAAAGAGAAGCAAGGAAAACCATAGCTGGCTAGTTCAAGAAGGCTTCGTGAAATAAAGATCTTTTTAGAGGTCCCAACAGCATGGTGTATCTGGGTTTTGGTTTTGATTTTGAAGGAGATATTAATGGGTTCAGGACCATGGATAGCCCCTTCATATTCAGAGGAAAACCTAGAAATGTTCCACTGCCACATTAAGATTTGGATCACCACCGCCACCAGAGGAGCCAAAAACATTACAATATTGATGACCTCCGAAGGCAGAAGAAAAATGGAGTTACCATGATGAAGGCTTTTCTTGGGCTGGACTCCAGTTGGATCATAGGTCCATGTGGAACCAGCATCCATCCAGTGAGGTGGCCAGGCAGGTTGGTAAGGGAGATGGCATTCTCTCAAGTGTCCTGGTCCCATGCTGTGCTGGGGGAAGTTGAAGCCCGGAGAAGAAGCGACGGATGGACTCCATCAAGGAAGCCACAGCCTCGCATTTAGGAGAGCTAAGCAGCGATGAAAATAATGCACAGTGGAGAGGGAGACATTTTTCTCGGAGGCTTGAACCCAGGGTCATTCCATGAAGCTGATTAGGACAGACGAAAGGAAGGATTGCTTTACACAACATATGGCTAAACTATGGGATTTGCTGCCATGGGAAAACATGAGGGTCACCCATCAGGAGGGAATGTGATGGGACAGATTCATGGAGGAGCAGGCGGCGGCGATCCATGGCTACTGACCTTGTGGGCCATGTGCCCTCCTTGACCAGAGGTGGCCTGCCTGCATGAGGAGCTTGGGCAGGAGGAAGCCTCGCCCCCGTCCTGCTGGAGGCATCCCGCTGGGTTGCCAGCACGTGTATGGAGCGCTGGATTGGATGGACCTTGGGTCTGATCCAGCCTGGCTTCTCCGATGTTTTTACGAGCTAGATCTAAGGAGTCGGCCTTGATTTGTATGAACGCCGCTCGAGAGGCACAGTTCTCTACTCCAGATTTGTGCAAATATTTCAAGCAATTCCACAGAAGCCCATGTCCCACCCCTCCATTCGACGTCGTCCCAAAGTGTAGCAGAAGCTGTGGAGGCTGTCAGTGGAAAGCAGTATCCACCCTGGGTTTTGGTCTGAACCTTAAAGGCTCTGTCTGTAAAGCTGAACTCTATGCCCCCAAAGGTTTGGCACCACAGACAGCTCCTTGCAAGTTCAGACTGCCACCCGGAGTGCACGGGCTGCCTTTGCTACAAGCCTGCACTGAACATTTGTGTACAATTTCCGTGACAGAATACCTTGTGGCTAATATTATCTTCCATCACCTAAATCACGACGCACACTCACAATTGCCTCATTATCGTGAAGCACTCCTAGGGGAAGAAGATGCCAGAAAAGGTTGAAACACGGGCCATTCTGGCAGCTTAAGGTCAGCTCCACGTCATACTTGTGAGAAAATCACTCCTTACTGAACATTTGTTGGCCGAATGAAGTAAATACATTCTGTTGGCATTTGCGTATCAAGGGGCATTTTCAAATGTATACATTATGCAACATGTCTTGCTCATTGTTCTGTTTATTTATTAATTAAATCTCTATCTTACCCACTAGCCAGAATGGCTCTCCACGTGGGTTATGAAATATATTAATATAATAAAATATATAATAAAAGAGCAATATTGATCATAAACAGAACAATAACGAAATAACAACAATAATAGCAATAATAAAAACATGAGAAAACTCTCACAATAAACCACACAATAGCCTTAGTTCATTTAAACCAAAGGCAATACCCAGTAGCACTAAATATAATAAATACAATATAAAATCACATTATAAGTATGATTATTTAAAATTATTTAATAAAACTATTTATTAAAATATCAGGTAAATAAAAAGGTCTTTGCCTGAAGCCTCTGGCCTCAGAACTGGGAATCTCAAGTCCAAAGAAAAGTGGGGTGTAAAATCTTCATACACAAAGAGGCAAGGGCTTGCAAGCCATGTGCTAGAACCCAGAAAAGTTCAGCTCCTTTTCAATGCATCCTGGAGAGGGATCGCTGAGGGTAAATGCTGCAGGTTTGGACTTAAGCCATTCCTGAGTGCAGGGAAGTTTTCAGTGGGGTACGACATTCCATGTATGTGTTTCCATCGCTCAAATGATTGAACTTGCTTCATCCTGAAAATGCCTCGAGCGCTTAGAGGTGGGATGAGGAGAGAGAACAGCAAGGTAGGGAGGAATAAAACCGTCCTGAACGGAATGACTCACGCCCAGGAAAAGAAATACCAGGACGAAGGGCTTTGGTGCTCTGCTCCCTGCACAGTGCGCTCTTTCTCCAGAACACAAGATGCATCTGGGTTTCGCTTTTCTTCTGCTTGTCCTGGCCTTTCTGATCATCCAGTTCATAAAGCTGCAGAGGATACGGAAGCAATTCCCTCCTGGACCAACTCCTCTGCCTTTTATCGGCTGCTTGTGGCAACCAAAGTTTTTCCGGCTGAGTCGTGAACTCCTGACTGAGGTACTTCTTTTCCAGGTGGTCAGTCAGTTGACTGTTCTTGGGACTGGTGGGCTGGCGGTGAAGATCAGTTCGTTGGCAGTTGAGGAGATGGAGTAACTCCGAGTATGCTAAAGGCTTGGTTGTCCTTCAGCGCTTTAGTGGGGCTTTGTCCAACAGGGCAAGCAAAATTAAGTCCAAGGAGGATTTAGTAACCCACCACAACCAATAAGGTTCCAGCAGGAACTCCAGTGAAAAGGCAAGCTGGAGAGCTTCAGGAGGGCTTCCATCCGGCGGAGAACTTAGGGATTCTAGTGCAGAGAGGTGGCACCAGGAGAATAAGACAGACTCTTTTCCAGGACACAATTGCTGTTCTTAAACAGGGCCTGTCAGAACCTCATCCAGCTGGACCAAGTATCCTCATGAGTAAGGTCCTACCTCTGAGGTGCTCTCTGTTGCAGCCAGTTTCTTCTCCTGGGCTTGAAGTGTCCGGCTTGCCTAGTTAGTCAGACTGTATCACACACAGGGACTTCAAGGTCCCTCTTCTGTCTCCTAAGTGGATCTCTCCAGTCCCTTGCTTCCAGCTTTTACTTCCTCTCTGTTGTAGGTTCTCTTGTGGAAGGAGCCTGGGATGCAATAGGAATCGAGATCTTCCACCTTTTCCTTGCTGTCTGTCATAACTCTGCCAACCACTTTAAGTAGCTGGACACCCTTCTCTATCTCTTGTCTTTTGTTCTGGATGCACCTGAAGAAGGCTTTCTTGTGTGCTTAGCATCCCTTGCTAGTCTCAGCTCGTTTCCCGCTTTAGCCTTCCTGATGCTATTCCTGCAATTCCTTGCTATCTGGTTATATTCTTCCTCCGTGGCCTGGCCCTGCTTCCACCTCCTGTGCATTTTCTTTTTCTCTTTCAGGTTGTCACATAACTTTTTGTGTAGCCACGTTAGTTTCCTCTGTTGCCTTCTACACTTTTTTCTTGTTGCAAGAGAGAGGGTCTTGGAGAATCTGACTGTCCAAGGCTCCTAGAGCAGTGGTGGTGAACCTGTGGCCCGCGTGCCACAGCAGGCATGCAGAGACAGAGGGCAAGTAGCCCCTGCATCACCCCAGCAGCTGAGCATTGGATGACAGCACACACAGGGGCCATGCGCAGGCTCAGAAAGGAGTAGAGGCGCCAGGAGATGTCACGTGCCGCGACTCATTAGCCACGACTCGCCTGAGCTTTCACATGGCCGGTCAGTGCGCTGCCAAGGATTTGCTTGGACTGGCTGTAGGATGAGTTGTTTTTTCTAAACCAAAACCTGAGTTTTCAGGTTTTATTGCAGTGTTGGCACTTTGTGATAAATAGGTGGGTTTTGGGTTTCAGTTTGGGCACACGGTCTCTAAAATGTTCGCCATCACTGTCCCAGAGCAAAGGAAGCGTATCTTGCCAAGTGTGGCCAATCAGAGTCCATCTCTGTCTCAGTCAATAAAGTTAGTAAAAAGTGACCACGTTCATCCAGGTGTGCCAACCTCTAGATGGTCTTTTAGACTTGCTGGGTCAGCTTCTCCAGCAGAGCCAGATTCCACTTTCTCATCCCAGTTGCTCACATTAGGGATTTTGGCACCTTTTCAGATTTGGACAAAAACTTGTCTAGCAGCCAACAGCAAAAAAGAAACCAGATCTTTCTGGAAATAAAGAGATGCCGAGGCATGTGGTGACGGCATATAAAAGTGTTAAATAAATAAATAAATATTTGCTGTTGGGTTCATTAGTTAAATTGAATAAAGCATAACCTGGTTGATTTCTAGAATGTTTGATTGGTGCGTGGTTTTAGCAGTTTCATGTTCAGTCTCTCTCCCCAGAAGCACTGGGCAAACGGTCCACCGATGGTGAGAGTAGGTCCCTCAGGCTCCACCCGCCCCCATCATGCAGACGTACTTTTAGTAATTCTGGCAAGCTTCACTAGTGTGAAATGCCATCATTAGATTGCCTTGACTGAACTTTCTCCGGTATGGGATGAGATTTATTTCAGTGGGTGGGCAGACCAATTTTTTCTGCCATTTCTATCACTTATTTCCTACTGGACATTTTTCTCCCATGCTATTTTTAAACCTCTTAGGTGATAATTAGCAAGATCAAGGAGGCATTTATAGATTGTTGAGACAATTCCTTTGGAGCCCAGGGTATAGCTAAGGAGGTCGCTTTCAAATTGTGTATGCTTCCTTGGCATTTTGCTGTACAACCAGTGGGACCTTTAAAAAGTTGAGGACTTCGAGCCATGCATTAGAGATATCAGAAATTCTGTCTTTATTTTGCCGTTCTGGTAAACACAGGCCCTTTGGAAAGTCATCTAAGAACTTATGCAGAACATATCATTCCCACCCAGCAAACTGAATGGATTTATCTGGGTGGAAAATCAGAATGGATCAAGCAATATATTAGTACAATTTGGGGCACTAAATATTTGCACGATTTATTCCAAAATTGTAAAGTCAATTAAAAAAGGAGTTTTGTAATGTAGCTATATTTCTATTCATGTTGGGGAAAAAGAAATAGTTTATTTTTTCTCCAGCATATTAAGAGTCCCCTGTATAAAAGAGGTGAGAGAATTGTACTTGTATTGGAAGGTACCCTCTGCCTGAAGGGCTTTTCAGGACAAATCCAGTTTAATGGTGTTTGGATTCATTTTAAATCATTGTAAGAAAGGAGAGAGGGACCTCAAGTCCCCAGGTCACCAGGCTGGTCTTTCCTACAATTTTTAAATGCCCATGAATTTGCATCTGCACATGTGAATGAGAACGGCTGCAACGTGTCCTGCTTGGTGGGGAAGACTTTCCAGGCCTCAGCGGCTCGCATGGTTCGTGACGGGGGCAGAGGGGCATCACCAGTTCTGCAGATTTTGCTAAGAAAATGAGAGAGACCCGAGTCATGGAAAGACTGGTATGATTCTTAAATATGACTCCTGGGCTCCCCATTATTTTCTTGCAGGTGGCAAAATCCTATGGGAATATCTACACTTTGTGGTTTGGCTCCCTACCTATGGTCATCTTGGATGGGTACCAAGCAGTGAAGGATGGCCTTACCACCCACCCCGAAGATGTCGTGGGTCGCCCTATCCTGCATTTTTTCAAAGTTTTTGCAAATAATAAAGGTACGTTTCTCCTGCTTTCACAGGAGCCCCAGGCAACGCTTTGAATTATGCAAAGGCCCTCATTACAAAAGTGCCATCAGAGTTGTGCCATAAATCGTCATAGTGAAGTCCATCCTTAGTACTGTATGTGTATAAAGCACACATTTCTGTTTCTTACAAAATTTAACCACGTAGCTGACATTTGTCAGAATCCCGGAATCTCAATTTGAGAAGAGGAAATAAAACTCGGGTTCGTGAGAAAGACCAAGCGTCCAGACCATCTGAGGCTTTATTGTATTTACCCCAAGGTTCCCACAGTAGACTCTCACGACAATGCATGCATTACCAGGCAGGCAGAGGTGAACTCTGCTGCAAAGCTTCAGTACCATTGCAGGGCATTTATAGGTACACAGGTACAGAGCCATTGATGACAGAATGCAGAGATTACAATAAGATTCTGAGGTCATCACATACAGAACAGATAAAGAAATGTCAGTCAATCAGTCAGTAACAATGAGATTACAATATTTCTAATTGCCTGTATCGACACTGTAGTTCAGTAGCTTGAACCCATCTCCAGGTCTACTTAGACATGTAAATTCAAACTACTGAAACTATGCATGAACTCAAGACTCTTATCTAGACTCTAGACATTCTGACTTGGCCAGGGCACATGGAGCCTCTGGGCTATCAAAAGATACTTCCTTGTAAACTGAATTCCAACAATGACTATTTAATCATTGTGAAGGTATACAATGTAAATTTGGGCTAAAATGGCCTATCTACTGTAACTTACAGCTAAAGGTGAGAGAAAGGAGTGGGGGATGAAGGCCATTTGAAAAAGTGACTGCTTGGTTTTGAGAAGTACAGGATTTGATCCCACACTGCAAAAAGCACACAGAAGTAATGTTTTTCTGATGGGATTTATCCAAATTTTCCCAACACATTATGAAACCTAGCATGAAGGAGCTCCTTTGTAAAGTCTACCTAGGTTTCTGGGCAGCTGGATAATCATTGCCTCACCGCATTCAAAAGTTTGCTTTGAAAAATGAGTCCTTTTTGCTCCTGGGAACTTGGAAGGACTCCTCCTTCGGATCAGCTACTGCTGCAGAAGGGGCTTTCTGGGGAAGTGCTTCCTGGGTGGATCCTGAGCTAAAAAATGCATTAGCTGGGGAGCCAAGGAAGGCCTGGGTGACCAGGTGCTCTGGCAGGCGGCATCCGTAAATCCCCAAGAAATGGAGGTGCTCCAGGATCAAAAGCAGCCGAGAGATCCGGAAGAAGTGGCCGGAACTCACTGGGGTGAGGTGGGGTGAAAGAGCAAAGAGGCATGCCTACAGGCCAGCGGCACCAGGTAAGGCAGAGAGTTAGATGCTTTTTCTCAGCCACCTGGCCCCCACTTTGCTCAGGTGTTCCCTCCATACTGCTCCTGGGAAGCAAGCCCAAAGCATCATATCCGTTACCTGTCCCTGAATGTCAGCAGCGAATTCTCACAGCTGAACAATGTTCCACATGAAGAACTTCCAGGTGTCAGTCCTAGATTCCTCACTCAGTAGTTTGACGGGGTTCTGGTATTACTCACTTGTCTTTCTTCTAGGCTGAAACACCCCCAACCCTCCCTTTTATTTGGCAGCTGAATTGCTGAACACCCTGATCATATAGCTTTCACGTTTGCACACCTTTCCCAGTTCTACAATATCTTTTTTGAGGTGCTGTGACCAGAACTGCATGGGCAGTCATACCATAAAAGTGTATAAAAACATCACGACTGGCCATCTTTATTTTTGATTCCTTTCCTAACGATTCCCAACATGGGATTTACTTCTTTGCAGACAGCCGTTCGTTGGAAGGACATTTTCTTCAACCTGTTCACCTCAACCACAGTGTCTCTTCCTCAGTTGGGCCCCATCAACATATACGTGATGTCAGGACTTCTTCCCAGCAGCTTCCACTTCTTTACCTGGAAACTTTCCCCTATTTTCCAGAGATCCTTTGTATTTTTTACCTTTTGCAGAGATCCTTTTAATTTTTATCTTTTGCCTTTATATCCCTGCTTTTCTACTCTAATTTGGTATCATCTGAAAAGGTGCTAGTTGATACCTTGGTTTTAAAATTAGGGTTTAGATAGTGGTCTTATACCAATCTGTGGGACCGGGGATTCCACAGTCCTAATACTAATAATTAGTCAGTAATTGCAGTACTTCATCTCAATGACTCCAGGTATTTTGCTTGCGACTGGCAAGACATGGAAAAATCAGAGGCGATTTTCACTGATGACACTGAAAAATCTGGGCCTGGGGAAGAAAGGCCTGGAGTACCGGATCCAAGAGGAAGCCCAGTACCTGGTGGAGATGGTTAAGGAAACTAAAGGTACGCTACTCCTGAAAAAAAAGCATGCTTTCCTTTATTTTCCTCTTCAGAAAGAAGCTAGCTTTCTCCTATCCTTCAAACAGTAGAAAAAAAACCAGGTATGTTTACCTGAAGATGGAAGCCAAACCTTGGAATCATTGCATTGGTCTCCGAAAGTAGACTAAACAAATTTCTGCAAAAGATCGCATTCTAACATATTAGCGTTTGCTGATTCCGTGCCTTTCTCGTATTTCTTCCAGGTTGTTCAGGCCAACATGCATGCAACTCTTTCCCAATTTTATCTTCCTGGCAGCCTTGTGAGGCACTTACTTCAGCCATACACTTCCCGCCTCCCCCTCCATTTCATGCTCTGCAGCTGATTCCGTGTAAGAGCAAACAGTACAAACACGCTGAAAAAGCCACGTGCCAACCTGGGCGAACGCCCACATAAATGTGTTTTTCAGTTAGCCGTTGGACACTCACTTCAGTCCTTGCAGGACCACCATTACAGGGACAAAACGGAGTTCCGTTCTGCTAGCCTGAGGATATCCATGTACTTGGGAAGAAGCACAGCTTTATTACAAGGAAAGGCAACACATTTCCTTGTAAAAAGAACACGAAAAGCCTTGATAAGTAAGGAGGTGCCTGACTGGCAGCCCCCAAGGCCAAGATGTTCTTTTAAAATATTAAGAAAGAACATGTGCTCTGGAGATCAGCCCTTGTCCTAGAAGTAAGGAGTGGTGAGAAACCTTTTTGCATGTGGGAATCTATCAGCTTCCCTGGGCCTGGCTCCCCAGGATCCAATTTGCTCTGTAGCAGCCCGGAATCCAAGTTCTCGCAGCCTGCTTGCTGGGATTGAGTGCAATGCAAGAGGGAGCCAGTGCATGTGCCAAGTGCCGCTGCCATTTGACACTGAAGAAGGCTGGTTGAGAGGGGCTTGCCAGGAAAGGAGCCCTGCCCGTCCCCTGGAGGGCTTCTCTCCCGCACAGAGAGCAGGAGATGCTGTTGCTGATGCAGAAGAAGCTTGCTGGTTGCACAACTGGAGCTGCACAAGTGTTTGCGGGCTTCCTCTTGGCCCGACTTGCTCTGCTCAGGTTCACTAAGGCTGTGCTATCACAGCGGGGAGCTGGCATTGCTTGGTGCTACCAGGGAGATGAGGACAGGAGACGGGGCTGGTATGTGCAGCTCCAGCTTCTGTAGCTCTCATGACAGCCCTGAAAGGCATGCCACTCTCAAGAGGCAGAGTGGTATAGTGGTTAGAGCATTAGACTGGGACTCAGAAGATCTTGTTCTTGTCCCCACTTGGGTATGAAACTTCCTGGGGGACTCTGGGTCAGTAGCTGACCCTCAGCCTAGTCTACCTCACAGGGTGTTGTGAGGACAAAATTGAGAGGGGCCACTCACGTAAGCTGCCTTGCAGGAAAAAATGGCAGGGTGTAACTATAATAAATAAATAAGATCATGGTGATCCTTTTTTGGCATATATAAAGGGGGAAAGGCTATACAGTGAAACTAACCGCTTGTCTCAGGCTGCCGTGGAAGTTTGCTGTGGTTACGTGCCGTCAAGTCGTCTTTGCTCATGGCAGCACTGAGAAAGGATGCCCTTCAGAATTGTCCTGCCATTGACAGCCCTGCTCAGCTCCTGTAAATTCAAGGCTGCAGGAGTTTTTTTAATGGATTTCATCCATTTCTTATTTGACCGTCTGTTGCTTCTTCTGCCTTTGACTTTCCCCAGCATGATTGTCTTCTCCAGGGAGTCTTGCCTTCTCACGATGTATTCGCAGTACAGCAGTCTTGGTTTTGTCCTTTTTGCTATGAAAATATTCAAACTGGAGATTTCTCAGAGCACCGCTCTCACACGGCAACCCTTCTGCTCTTACAGATTTGCTCAAATTCTGCACCTTCTATTCTATTTGCAGGAAAGCCGATGAGTCCGTCCTACTCCATCGCGCTTGCAATTGCAAATGTGATTTGTGCTGTAGTCTTCGGACACCGCTTCTCCACTGAGGACAAAACCTTTCACGAGCTACTTGAAGCCATGGAATGTATTTTCACATTTGCCGGTAGCCTCTTGCATTATGTGAGCAAACTGTAGTTTCTTCTCCTAAAACATCCTGAAATTAAGATTTTGAACAGCCTAAGTAGAGGGAAGAATGTCTTGGGCAGCAGCAGAGCCTTTTTGGTGGTAGTCCCAGTATGTCTAGAATATTATTTATTTTTATTTTTTTTATATTTTTATATGTATGCATGGCTCCATTAATTCAGGCTCACAAGTGGGCCTTACTGGCCCATCTGTTTCACATTGATTTTATCTGATATGCTGTTTGGGTTCTTAACTATTTAACTAATTGTAGCCTTTTTGCAGATGGATGAATCAGTTGATTTCCAGTCTACATAAGCTTTACCTGTGTTCCTTCATAAGTCTATTTGGTCCCATTTCTGTATCACTCTGCTATTTATTTATTTTTAATCTGCACAGAATGATCCATTTTTAAATTTTAATCACACAACATATACCCCCAAAACACATTTTGTAAGCGTTGTACCATAAAATATTAACTTTCTTACACAGTTTATTGAAAGATACACCTTCTATATGCATTTGGGACATTCTTCTGAGTGGAGAGCTATTGTGCAAAATTTTGAGAAATGCGAAAATGGGAGGAGAGCTGCAATCTGATCAGTGCAGGGAGCTGGGAAATGCAACGGAGGATGGCTTTCTGCAAAAGGCAAACCAAACAAAATCTTGGCAATATGAAACTGAATTAAGCATGGGCGAACAGTCCCATGAGAAGGTCCTGGGGACTATATGGTATTTTGGGTTTCCCCTCCTAAACAGTAGACACTCCTTTGACCTTTGCTCATGCTGGAAGAATCAGACCCCATCCTCTCACTGCTAATATAGAAACCAGCTTCAGACATGTTGAAAGTTCTGCCTTGGGTAGCCACATGTCCTACTTTACAGTGAGCAGTCCTCTGTCTGAGAGGCTGCCCGAGGAGAAGCTCTATTTGAAGGTGTCCTCTTCCTTTTAAAGATTTTTTATTTATTAATTATATTTATAGCATGCTTCCTTCATTCAAGGAACTCAAGGTGGTTTATATAATGATTTTCCTTCTCCTCCTCTCCATTTTTATTCTCACAACAGCCGCTGTGTAAAGTGGGTTAGGATGCGAGTCTGTGTCTGGCCCAGAGTCACCCAGGGGACTTCCTGGCCAGGTGGGGACTAGAACCGGGTCCGGCACTCCGGCCACTGCACCACTCAGGCATAATGAAGCACGGGAAGGGAGAGCAGGGGCTTGGCATTGCCCATCTACAGTTGGTCCACAGACGACAAGCTGAGCAGGAGCATGGGCTGCCTTGTCACAGTCGTTCCCACTGGAGTGAGGTGCACTGGATCGCTATTTAAAACCATACCCATTCATTCCCAATTGGCATACGCACATGAACACTTTATGCTACTCTTTATCTTCTTTTCAGAAGATGCATGTTCTCTTTTTGGTGATATGTACATGGCCACCTGACCCTCACCCAGTCGCCTCCTAGGCTTGGAAAGTTCTCAGGAAGAACAAGACAAATACCCCTAAAAAAGCTCTAACCACAACTGCCTGCTGGTGCAAACTTACTGGGTTTTGAAGCAGCAAGGACTTCACTGGGCTAAAGCTGAACAGGAGTGAGTCAGACCAAGGGCAGTATTAGGTACTAAAAAGATGCAGACCTCAGGCTCACAGGGCCAAAAACTAAGCTAAGCTAAGCTAAGCTAAGCTAAGCTAAGCTAAGCTAAACTAAACTTCAGCAGAAAGATTTGGGAGGGCAAGAGGAGGTGAAGTTCATGTGGACAAAAAGTCAGGTAATTTGTGATGCAAGAGAGATTATGGGGTGCCCAGTACCTTTATTTCAGTGGGTTTCCTAGAGATTTGTGGTTCTAAATCAAGGATTTGGGATCCTGACTTGAGCTGGCTCTGCTAGGGGAGATTACTGCAAATGCTCAGTTCTTTGTGGCCATCCTCCTAGCCTCCAGCGGCAGAAACTCCCAGAACAAAGCCTTCCCAGGTGTCCTGACCATTCAGAGAAGTTCCTATAGGAAAAGGTGTGTTGCCAGCTATTGGAAGACATATCTAGGGCCACACTGATACCACTGTTTTCTCAGTGCCTCCACCTTGTCTGTCTCTTTTCCAGATTTACGATATTTTCCCCTGGCTTCTGAGCCGTCTCCCAGGGCGTCACAAGCGGGTGTTGCAGGCACGTGACTTTGTGTATGCCTTCATAAGGAAGGAGATCCAAAAGCACCTGGATGCTGATGTCCCAGAGGACCCGGAGGACTTCATCGATTTCTACCTTGCTCAAATAGAGAAAGTAAGTCTTTGCTCTGTTGGGGAGGAGAACTCCTCTGAAGAGACGATCTTCGATCTCATCACTTAGTCATGAAAGGCAGAACTAGTGGAGGGATATTGTGGGTTAGTGCTGGAGAACCAGGAGGTCATTGGTTCAGATACTGGTTCTGTCTTAGTCTGTTTAGGTATCCTTAGCTAAACTATTATCTCCCTGGGCACTTCCAGAAATAGGGGTCCTAACGTGAACTGTCAGAAAGCATGGTGCCACCAATCTCAGATTTTGCTTTCCGTGGATCTTCTATGGTAAGGAGGGAGAGGCAGCAGTGAGGAAATCCTTCCAACATTTCCCCCCCAAGATAGACCCGAATCCTGATAAATCATTGCCTCCCAGACCCATCTCAGACACCTCCAGGATGCAATGGCTGATGGTACAGAAAGCTGCTGAGAGGTTCAGCAGGACCATGACGACCATGCTCTTCTTGCCCAGTTCCTGGCACAGATCATCCGCCAGGGTGTCCACAGCAGCCTCTGCCCCATAACCAGGCCTGAAGCCAAATTAAAAGAGAGCAAGAGAGTGTGCCCCAACTAGAAGCCACTGGAGATGCCACCAGGCATAACCAGCCTGAAGCCACCCTGTGCTCAACCACCTGGTCTAAGGATGGACCCTTGGAGACTGGCCAGAATTACGAGGGTGGGCAGGCTGTGCGCATCCTCTCCATGTGCAGCTTCAGCAGGAGCGCAACAATTGCTCTCCTCCCAAATTAAAAGGTTGGCAAAGGCCTCTTTCCAAATGTTTATCTGCGAGCCACAGACCTTCTGCAGCCAGACGCAGGTGTCCTGTCCCACTTCGCTGCTTGTTTTCCTGCAGACAAAGCACCTGCCGAAAGCACCCTATGATGAAATCAACATGGTGCACTCCATATTTGACCTCTTCCTGGGAGGGACGGAGACATCCAGTACTACCCTCACCTGGGCATTGCTCTACATGGTGCGTTATCCAGACATCCAAGGTGAGAAAAGATGGAGCTGTATTCGGAATACAAGGGGGACCCCAAAAAACCCAGGGATTATCTTCTGGAGGGCAGGCCCTTGTAGTATGGGCTTCCCCACTAGGTGAGCGTGCTAGGAACCCATCACAGCAGGGTATCCAGCTGGGCTGTTGTGAGAGGCTGCATTCCACTTCAGTGAGGTTTTTTGGGAGACTCTTCCAACCAGTGCTTTTTTTGTAAAAAAAAATAAAAATAAAAAGGTGCTGGAACTCACCTCTTGGGGTCACACTTTTACACTAAAACAGATTTTCAATTCAACTTTTTTTGAAATAAAGAACTTATTTACCTTTTGCACGTAGCCAGTCTCTCTACACACACATAAACATAATGGTTGCCACCGGCAGTAAGCACTCAGCGCGCGACCACACGACCGATCCCAAGCCGAGCAGCGTCCCAAGCCGAGCAGGACCCTCACAATCAGCGCCGACAATCAGCGCCGACACACAAGCAGCCCTCAGGCACTATATTAATGATTTTTGCTGCTGACCTGCTATGCCCAACAGGGCGAGTCATGATCACTTGGAAAAATCAGTCAAAAGAAGGTGCCGGAACACCGTTCCGGTGCGTTCTATGACAAAAGCAGCCCTGCTTCCAGCACTTTTGCCTATGATGGCTGATTTACATGAACAACGTGAGTGGGTGAAGTTTTGTTCCACCGAGCGTTCAGCAGTTTTTGACCAAAAACAGCATAACCCTTGTGCCCCACCCTCCTTATTCACCTGATCTCACCCCTGCAACTTTTTTGGTTTTCCCGGATGAAAAAAGTCCCCAAAGGGAAAGGTTTTGCTGATGTGGAAGAGGGGAAACCAAAAACGGCAAAAGCACGAAAAGGCACCAAAATTGAAGTGTTTAAAACCTGTTTCGAGCAGTGGCAAAAGTCTCGATAGGTGTATTGCATCAAACAGAGAGCACTTTGAAGGTGACTGAAGTTTGAACATGTGAAAATAAATACACAATTTTTAATAAATAAATTCCTGGGGGTTTTTGGGTCACCCCTTTTATTGCCCCATTTTGGAATCTTACAGCCAATAATACTTTGTGCTGAGCCTTTGGTGTGACAGAGAGAAAACACAACATTATTTTTTTGTATTGAACGACTACGAGGGTGTTTACATAATAAATTTTGGTAAGTTTAGATGGCAGCTTTGAAGTTGTTTTCCATCTGAAACTATTTAGATGGAACATTTTGAACAAGGTAGGGCATTTTGTATTCTAATATTCACTGAGTTTAGTTGAGGTCCTAGGGTTAGCAGTATGAAATTTGGGATGCCGTGCTGCTTTTTAGGGTTTTAAAATCTGCGGCTGCATCCCTGCCTGTCTGAAAGACCTCCAACCTTGAGGGCTTCCAAGATTTCCATGTTGCTGAGGCTGCTTGGCTGAGTTTTGATTTTAAGTAGTTTTAAAGTAATTGAAATCCAGGCCTGGGGGTGGGGGGCTTCTTTGCTTTTCAGAACCGTGGTTTTAAAAATATTAAGTAGTTACTTTGTATGTACAGCAGGCCTAGTTGAAGAGAGTTTTGAAAAGATGTACAGGGTTAAATAGCAGTTGTCATAGGAAGATGCTTCTTGAAAGGATTGTGTTAATTGGCCAAAGATGATGTTTTGAATGAGGCGTCTCCACAAGAAATTTGGCTTTTGCAGAGTGGGTCTCGGAACAGGGAAGGGTATGAAGGCTGGGAGGAGAATTTCTTCACTAGCTTCTCTAACTGAGGAATGGATGGCACAACGATTATCTCATTCACTACCAAAGGCATGTATGAAATTACCCACTGTCCTACTTACTTAAAGTATCTGCTGCACCAATTAGATTATTTCCCTCAACTTCTTAAACTGATTTGCTGCCATGTCATGATATGCCCTGTGTGGCAAACTTTGCTTTTGCTTCTAGGAAGATACGGGGAAATTCGCCGGTGTCAGGGAGGAGAGATTAATTCCAGAGACTGCCCTGTTAAATTTGCCTTTGATACAGGCATCAGTTGCATGACAGCAACCTTTCTGATGCTCTGTGCAAATCGTGTGTTTGCTTTTCCTCAGCAAAAGTCCAGCAGGAGATCGACGCCGTCATCGCTCCTGGCCAGACGATCTACTACGACGATCGCAAGCTTCTTCCGTACACAAATGCGGTCATTCATGAGATCCAGCGCTTCAGCAACATCGTTGCAGTTGGGCTGCCCAGGTACTGCATGAAGGACACCATGATCCGGCAGTTTTTAATGAAAAAGGTAAGCATATTTCCAAGCTGATCAACATGAATGCTGGGCTGAAAGCAACAGAATGAGATTCCATAAGGACAAGTGCCAAGTCCTTATGGGAAAGAAACCAAAGGCATTGATACGAGATGGGGAAGATGTTATTGCTCAGCATTTCATTTAAGTATTATTATTATTATTATTATTATTATTATTATTACATTTTTATACTGCCCATAGCCAAAGCTCTCTAGGCAGTTGACAGCAATAATCATAGAATCATACACTCAAGTCACCCATCCCACTTCTGCCCAGGCCTGACCCTGCTTAGCTTCCAAGATTAGGCAGATTAGACTCAACAGAACCAAAAACGAAAAAGACTTGGAGTGATTGTGGACAACAGGCTAAACATGAGCCAACAATGCAGTGCAGCTGCCAAAGGGGCAAATGCTATTTTGGGATGCATTAACAGAAGTATTACTTCCAAATCACGAGAAGTAGTAGTTCCCCTACACTCCTCACTAGTCAGACCCCATCTGGAATACTGTGTCCAGTTCTGGGCACCGAGATTTAAGAAAGATGCAGGGAAATTGGAAAGGGTCCATACGAGTAGGAGGGCAACCAGAATGTTCCAGGGCTTGGGAACACTGCCCTGGACTCAGGTCAACTTTGGTGCAGTCGTGAGCCAGGCCAGTGTGCCAGGAATCTCACCCACGCATCTGCTGTGCAAGCAGAATCGATCCCTCTTCCATGAGCGTGATTTGCAGGTTTAGTTTGTACTGCTGCACATGACCATGAAAGAAGGTTGCTGGTAGTGGAAACCTCATTCCACAAGCATGTGTAGGCTTCCGCTTGGCTCTATTTGCTTTCCATGGTAGGGCTGAGTACATGAGGAAGCCCATGAACGGTTCCCACCAAGCTTTGATCCTCCCTTTCCCTAAGGCTGAGTTACAGGGAGGAAGACCCCGTTGCCCCTGTGCATCACCCTGTGCAGGTATGTTTTATACCTCAGACCTCACCTGCTTTCCCTTCAGCCTCACCCATCACTCACCCGGCCCTGGGAGTCCGTTTGCGAGGAATTCCAGGTGGCAAGGGTCTCACTCCTGATGTGGGCCATCGCATTGGCGGTTTGTTGAAAGCTGTCCAGAGAGTTTTTGTTACAGGGTGCAAATAAATATTTCCCATTGTGCAAAGTGTGTCAAAGCCAAAAAAACTGCTGCCCATCACTCTGCGAACTTAGTAGCCTAAGGGGGCAACCTTGATGCAAGGTAGTCTTCAGACACGGAGGTGGCTCGTGTGCAACCCGACCCCAACAAGGCGCAACTCCTGGCACCCTGGTTTTGATCTGTTTCCCACTGCCTAGCCAGAGAGCCAGGGAGAGGGAAGGAAGGGGCCTGGGGCCGAGTCACTGCCCCAGGATCTCAGCTTGATTCTCCTCTGCTTTCCCACATATCAGAAACCCGACTCATTGCATGCATATATCCTGGGACCCATGAATGCCATTGTGGTACCGATTGTTGCCTATAAGTCTTAAAGAATACACCATTTTATGTCCTATAATTTAGTTCCTATTTCGAAGATCTTATGGCTGACATAAGAACTTGAGAGAAACGGATATACTGAAATTGAAACATGATATACTGAAATTGAAACATGAGGTGTCTTATTCATCTCCTATTTTGCCTCAGTCTTTCCCACAAAGGGAGTTGAGTTCAACTGAGGTCAAGTAGAACATATGGAATAAATAAGAATTGTCAGCTAAAGATGGGTGAATCTATCAGACTGTGGTCAACCAGCTGCCCACAGGAAGCTACAAACGGGTTAACGCCTCCTTACTGGTGATCTTCAGTGACAGGTGTGCCTAGGCATGCCTCCTCAGCATCTGAAGTAGTAGCTGCCTCCTCCTCCTCCTTCTCTTCCCCCCCCCCCCCCCGGTCTCCTTGTCCCGTTTCTCCTCGCTGCACATAACGCTCTATGCCTCTCTTCTCTCTCGGCAGCCTGTTTCTGATTAGCTGCTCCCTGGGTTCTTACCCCATGGTTGCTAAAGACCCCGAGGTGAGCAAATGCAGAGCATTAACGGGAAGGCTGAAACATGGCACCAGCAGCAAATAATTATAAAAGGCTCACGAGGTGTGTCTGCTTCTTCCACAGATTCCAAGCTGGTCGTAATCATGATAGCAATTTATTAGGTCTGTCACTTGCTGCTTGCATCTTGCTTTGGGATCTTCTTCGGTACATACCTGTCGCTGTTGAAAACTTGCTGCGTTTTGTAATGCGCTGGTTGGCCTGGAGCCAGGTGGAAAGGCAGAACTTAATGCCAGCTTTCTCTCTGCAGGGCACGACGCTCTTCCCAAACATGGCTTCCGCCTTGTATGATCCCAAGGAATGGGAGATGCCTCTGTCTTTTCATCCGGACCATTTCCTGGACAAGGATGGGAATTTTACCTGCCGGGAAGCCTTCATACCATTTTCTTTAGGTGCCTGCACAGATGATTAAAATCTCCTTTCTTTGGATTTAAAAGTTAAATGTTTGGGTGCAGCTTCTTTGGACATGCAGTGTGATTTTAACTATGCCTCCCCTCCCCTCCCCTCCCCACCCCTGGAAGACCCCTTTTCTCCCCAGCAATGCACATTTCCAACCTTAGATGCCACCAGTGTATTAATATATTTATTAGATTTATACCCCACCTTTTTTCCTTACAACCACCTCAAAGTGGTTCACATCGTTCTTCTCCTGCTCTTCTCCCCACAACAACCCGGTACCAGAGGCTTGCCTGGGAGTTTGTGACTGTCCTAAAGTCGCCCCATTAGCTCCATGGCTATGATGTAAGCCGTCCCAAGATGTCGTACGCTGTCCTGAGACGTTCTGCAGGGGATGGGAGAGAAAACCTTTTATTAAATCATAAATCACAATATGACAGGTGCTATATAGGAGAAGATCTTTCAGGATTTGAAGCACAGCTTTCAAACTGATTTATTTTGATTTTGACACAGTGACCCATTAATGGATCTTTGCTGAAAGGGACTATCATATAACCCACTGTGAAAGCAGTGGGTTATATGATACAAAAATAATTGGTGTGAGAATATTCGCAGTCCACAGACATTTTATCAAGGTTCACCCTGTTAACATCTGTGTCAGCTCCTGACAAAGGAAGATAGATTGTTGTGAACTGGTCCCTTATCACAGAAATCTCGGGATTCTCCCTTTCCTCGCTCGTTGTGCCTTACAAAAGCTCCTTGCCCTCCCCAGAAGAAGAGGAAGCCCTTGCAGGTGTCATGCTGAGAGCCTCTGCCGTGCCAGGCCATGGGGAAGCAACAGTGCAGTGACTCCGCACTGTGGGTTTCGTGGGGCATTCAAAGTGAGATGGATCTGAGTCCAGCCTGGGTGGGTACAGTGAGCAGGATGGGAGCAGGAATTGATGCAGCACAGAATCCCATAGGCCTTGCTCTCTGCCAGGTAGTCCTCCAGGTGAAATGACCCAGCCATGCATCCTTGCATCTTAAGGCACTGGAATGCACCCAGAGCCATTGGATAAATATCAGTTGTGGAGTGTTTGAGAATGAGAAAGGCGATTGTGGAAGACCCAGATAAACGAATGTTACTTTTGGAAGGTTTATAATATCTGTAATACTTTTTTTTTCAATTCAGAAGATTCCGAAGTAGTACTAAAGTTACTGAGCACATAGACATGTCTTGTCTGCTTGACTCTCCTTTTCCTTCCTTAACAGGGCACCGAATGTGTTTGGGAGAACATCTGGCAAGGACAGAGTTGTTCCTTTTCTTCTCGAACCTTCTTCGAGCATTCAAGTTCCATTTGGCAGAAGGAAGCAAAGATGTGACCTTAGAACCTGTTTGTGGTGGAACTTTGCAGCCTCACTACTTTGAAATCTGCGCCATTCCTCGACAGACTGCTCTGTGAGGAAACACGACCCTCGCAGGGCAAGGAAACACAGCAGCAGGACACCAACAACTCTGGTTTTCGGGCATAGTATTGCATGTCTTCTTCAAAATCCTTCAACACAAAATCAAAGCGAGTGACTGGTACTGAGTCAGACCCATCCAGCCCAGTAGAGGCAAGACTGACTGGCAGCCATCCTCCCCTCCCCACCGGGGATTCAGCCCGGCAATTCTTCCCTGCTCTATCTAAAAATGCAGCTCAGTATTGAATTTGGGGCCTTGCTCTGCCGATCTTGGAGACAGCATCAAGGTGGTGAGTGGGGCTGAAGGCAAGAAGGGAAGGCCCCAGATGCAAAGTGACCAGCCCCTTTAGCTTACTTGACGGCTCTGTTGCCAATACTAGCTCCCGTCTGAACCTTATGATTTCATGGCGTGTGCTCCAATGCATCATTCAGACACACATTTCTTAAGGAACTAAAGCGTGCATTTCTGAGACTTCTAGAGCACTGCCTTGAAAATGAAAAACAGATCTGCAGGGCCTGGCTAATACCCAGGAATAATCACAACAGGACAGATCCCAAAGAGAACACACTTAATGTCACCTCTGGTTCTCTGCTGAGATCATCCAGATGCCCCTTGGTGGTCCACAGTTCATGCTGGATGATGGGTGCCAGGCCTGTTCCGGCTTACGGATGGCAGACCAACCATAACTGGAAGGTCACCACCAGCAACAGAGCTTTGAAGAGAGACTCAGTCCCACCTTGTGGCAGACATGATTCCAACCCAGTCCGCATTTCTATTCTGGCAAGGTCATTTCAGGATCTCAGAATGCCGCCCACGACATCAGAGTCGCAAACCAGTTCTTCCAACATGATCCATTGCTGACAAGTCCCTGCTGCATTACACACAATTCAAACAAGCCAGTCTCTACAAAATAATGCACACACACAAATCCAACATTAGTAATATTCCAAAACCATGTTCAAAAGCATTTCAGTCTCCCAGGACAGTCTGTCAGATCCATCAAGCAATCAATACTCTTTCCTGTACATTGAATAACAAGAGTTTTTCTTTAAGTCACCCTACATAGATTAATATGCTTCCCAAAGCTTTGTGAAGTGCAACTGTTAAAGTAATTATTCTGACCATCCCCACAAAAAAATTAAAAGCTTAAAACATCCTTGAATCTGCAGTAGAAATGTCTCTTGCTTTAAATGAAGTTAGCCAACAATAGAACAGAATATGGGCTCTTTGTCTTTCAAATAAGCTCCCTTTATTATTGATAAAATAGTTATTAAGAGTATGAAAGCTTGGAAGATTAACACAAAAACCTCAAGGGTAGCTCTTGGTTTCTTTTACTCCAACCCATTTGCTGAGTGGGGGAAAAACCCAAGCAATCTTAGAGCAGGCAAGAAGAAGTCCAGCTTGCGGGGTAGGGAAATAACAGGGTTTCTAACGACATCTCAGCACTGTACTCATTCTCTACCAATTCTCTGAATAAATGCTAGAGCCCATAATAATTTCACCTAATTCAGGCCAGCACCTGAACACCTCCAGGTCTGACACAAGGGCAACACCTCCAGGACTGACACAATTTAGCTAATTGTCCAAATGCTCTGTTTCCCCAAGGTGCCATACAATGTAAGGTCAAAGCAACCTAAAATGTATCTTAATGTGAAAATCAAGAACACAACAAAGGTGAGCAGAAAAACTACAAAATTCTGTCAAGATTTAAAGCACGGTCTCTGACAACAAACACAAACTTCACAAGCTTCACAGCAAACACACGGTATCTTTTGAGGGAGGGAGTTCTGACAGTGTGGGGCCACCACTGAAGAGAGCGCGTTTCCTGCGCCTGCTCTGCAATAGGACCTACACAGGTAGTTTTCTTAATGCTCTGCCATGTTTGGATGGGTGAACCTGGCCCTAATCCTTGAAGGGCTTAAAACGCTCAATAGCAGCACTTAGCACTGGACGTGGAAACTGACAGGCAGCTAATGCAGGATCAGGGAAATATGGTGGGCGCCACCAGCTGTACCAGCACACAGGCTGGTCCGCCCTGCACTCACTGAATCCGCTGAAACATCCTCAAAGGCAGCTCATGCAGGTTGGGTTGCAACCTGTCCAGGCCATGATCCAGTGCGGTACCAGCTTGCTGCATTTAGGTTGGTCCTCGTGAGCACCGGTCCCTCTACTTCATCGGATTGTGTTAAGTCCAGCAGGACCCCCAAGCTGCCAATGTTGCCTCTGAGGGGAAGAGAGATCCCATGCCAAAGTGGCTGAACACTTTGGTCCGGGACAAACAGCCCCCGACCCGCCTGCTGACCCACAGGTCCCTCATCTGTCTGGGTTCAGTTTGCTTGGTGGTCGACGACATCAAGGCTGCCTTCGGTTCTTGTTAGCACATCTGTCCAATCCCCCAAGGAAGGTAGTGTCGAGGGGGGAGCCCGGTATGTAAACATTCCACACATTCTAGAGCAATAAAACCAAAGTGCTTTAATGCTAATTGTCTACAAGGTTTACAGTTCTATAGATAAGTTCCCTAATAGCGGTCCTTGCGAAGCAGATGTCAGCCCTATAATGGCATCTCTTCCTGAGCCCACGTGGGATCACTCTCCCAAGCCAGGCCTTTCCTCCCTCTTACGCTGTCTACTTTGTAGCCGTTCAAATCGGAGTAAAAGACGTCTGTTCTGGGCTCTTGAAAAATCCACGACACCTACTGTGTCTTCTGTTTCTGGCTCAGGGAGGTCAGTGTCTGGGGGGGAAGAGGCAGTTGCTCTGCCTCCTTCTGAGTAGAACTTGCAGCGCCCTCTTTCTCATGACTCTCTGTCTCAGGTAAAGGTCCAGGCGTTTGCTCAACGGGCTGGGGCTCAGGGGCAGACGCAGCAGCTGGCTCAGCCGCCCCTGCATCGGTTTGTGGGGTCGACACTTGGGCTCTGGGTGCCAAGTGCAAGGTCTCCTCGTGAGTCACTGTTTCTGTCGGAGCTTCATGCATGACAGGTAGCTGAACAGGATGGGCAGATGGGGCAGCAACTGTTTAAGAATTCGTGCATGTGTTTATTTAGTTCATGCGTAGCCCACCTTTCCAAGATCCCAAGATGGGTTGCATGGGCCCCGTCTCATCAACAGCCTTTGGAGGATGGCTTGACTGAGAGTCAGTGGCCTTCTCTCCATGAGAAGCGCAGAGCGGGGGGGGGGGGGGGCAATTGGCCATCAGGTCCAACCCCCTGCTTGGTGCAGGACTCCCGGTTGCAGTGGACGGATGCTGACCCAGGGCACAGCGGCTGTGAAAAAGGCACGCTCCGGATCAGGCATAATTAGGAAAGGCACTGCAAATGAAACTGCCAAGGTTGTATTCTCCTTATACGAAGCTTGGCCAAGGCTGCACTTCCAGTGTTGTCTGCAGTCCTGGTTGCTGCATCTAAACAGGATATTGTGACATTGGAAAAGGTTTTGAGAAGGGGAAATGAAAGGATGCAGGGGCTGGGGCAGCTCCCCCGAGGAAAGATTTCAAGAGCCGAGACTTGGAAAAAGGGGTGAGCGAGGGGCGACGTGACGGAGATGTTCAGAATTCTGCATCTAGTGGAGAAGGAGGCATTTTTATCCTGCAGTGCAAGAAACCTGGGTCATCCTTGCAGCGGATGAGTGGGAGATTCACAGCACATAGTGGGAATGTGGAACTTGCCGCCAGGGGAAGCGGTGGTGGTCACCCATTTGGATGACTTGGGATTGGACGGATTCCTGGAGGAGCAGGCCATGAATGGCTACCAGCCTCCAGCCACGCGACACCTGTGTGCACCGGCTGCTGGCGAACTTGGGCGGCCGGGCATGTCCTGCTTGAGGGATCCCGTGAGCAGCTGCTTTGTCACTGTGGACTCAGCAGAGCACCGGATCACGGCCTTTATGTTCCTACCCACATTGTGAAATGTGAGACAAAGCTGAGTGCCAGCAAGATAGGGATCATACTGCAAGTTGCTTCTGTTTTGCTCATGTTCTCATTGTACTTATTTAAAACTTTTGTACCCTGTCCACCACTGACATTTGAGAACAGCTTACAATAAGGAACAAAGAAATTACAAAACCAAACCTAAACCAAACCAGCGTCCAGCAAGTCAAGATTAAAAAAAAAACCCAATTAAAACCAAATAATGGGAAAATAAAAAGGTTTTCACCTGACACCAAAAAGAATAAAGCATCGGCACCAGACGAACCTCTCTGGGGAAGAATTTTCCGGAGTGGGGAAGAATATTCCAGATAACCGAAGGCAGTGGTGGTGATGGGTTTCACAAAAACACTTGAGCCATTGCATCCCAAATGAGAAAACGAAAATCACTCTGTTCAGTCATGCAAAGACTTCAATACCTTTTTGTTGGTAGACGTCTGACTAGAATCTGGGACGTTCAGCTGGCCCGTTCTGCCACTGCTATTGCAAGTGTGCAGAATGAGGGGCCCAGAGGCCAAATTCAACTCTGTGTATGGAGTTTTGTTGTTGCTAGTCGCGAAGTCATGTCCGACCCATCACGACCCAATAGACAACATTCCTGCAGGCCTTCCTGTCCTCCACCATCCTCTGGAGTCTTAGTTTTAGTGTTTTAGTGCTGCCCAAATATTTAGTGCTGTCCCCCGTTTTTTTTAAAATGCCCTTTCATGGGTTGTGAAAGTATGGGGAGGCACTCTGGAGGGCAAGGGGTGAATTTCAAAGGTGCATGTGCAAAATGCATGGGTGCTTCTCCTGGCCCCTCCCAGCCAGCTTCCGCCATGTGAGTTTCTGCAGAATGCTCCAAAGCCGTGCGTCGTGATGTACTGTAGTCTTCAGGGGCATTCGGAGGAGAAAATGACAGCAGCGTTTAAAATGTCTTCAGCTCCACCTTTGGCTTTCCACCCTGTAACAAAAGAAGGAAGAAAGGAGTTTTACCCCTCCCTTCTTCCTTGTGAAAGTCACCCATCCTGCCCCATCAGTTCAAATGTCCTCTCCTAAGAACTGTGGGTGCAACCTAAGCTCAGTACGAAGTATTGTATGATGGATTTGCTCTTCTCAGGGCTCAGAGCATTAATTTGAGTTTCTGTTGTTGTGGTTGCTGTTGTTGTTTTTGGTGCATCTGCAAATTTCTTAATTCTTACTTTTTGGGTAAGCCAAAGATTTCTGGTTCTTAAAATGATAAAATTGATAATTCAAATTCATTTTAAAACTCACTTTAACAATTA